CTTTTTGAGATTATCTTTTTCAATAATGTTTAAAGCTTGCTTAATCAAAAATAAAATTTTAATTTCAGCTGAGGACATAAACTTTGAAAGTGCATCTAATTTTTTTAAGTACTTATCAAGGACTACAACTTTTACTTTCTTAAGATTCATTATAATGTGTTTGGTGAAATATATAATATAATAATATATTTCACCGAACACATCCTGAAGATTACTTTCGGTTTTTTGCAATGAAAGCATACCTAACAGCTTGATCGGCTTCATTTCCGACCTCAACCAACAAAGTTACTAAAGACATTCTCAATTTGTTTGTGCAATGTATGTGCAACGAATCATTAAAACTTTAGGAAACATGAGTCCAATTATATACTAATATTATTTAATTATATGATATTGCAGAACACTGTCCTGGTCTACTTGAACAGATATTATAGCTTCAGGATCTTTTTCACCTAAGATTAAAAATCAAACTTTAACATCACTAAAATATTTTACTTAGATCAAAATGAATTATTTTAACAATAGTTAAGTTATATCTCAATTTACTATATACTTCAATTTACTATATACTTCAATTTACTGAGCACGCAAAACTTGATTCAGTCAGTGATTTTTATTGTTCATTTATATAAACAGGGGAAATCCATTGTTTTAAAAATAAACACACTTGAATTTTGATTTCTCAAAACACTTTTAGGTTAAAGTTAACATGATTCACTGCGCATATATATACTATCCTTAAGTCATAAATTATGCAAAACAAACCAAAACTGAATAAAAAGGTTTTTAAAAAAGGCCTAAAGAAGGTTAATCTTAGTTGATTAAGTATCAATTAACAAAGCTTTATTTGATTTTTTTATAATTGCGCTCTAGTTTAATTTTTTTATTTATGCACAAACCCAGCGGGCATTTATTTTTAAAAGTTACGTTCTAATTATATTTTAAATGTCTTTAAAACGTCTTTTAAACATTCTTACATAAAGAACGTTTAAAAAACGTTTAAAAGGCATTTAAAACGTTTTTTAAAAACAAATGCCCGTATGGAGGCTTTTATTGTTTTTAATTTGCTTTATTTATTTTGCAAATATTATTTTAAAAAACTTTCATTTTCTAAAAACAAGAAAGAAAGTATTAAAATGTACATTTTACCAAGTTATTGATGGTTGTATTAAAAAATGTCAAGTGCTTATTAAATAAACTAAGGGAGCTCCATTAATAATAAACAATAATTCAGAGTAAGATAAAACATGTAGAGTTTTCTATTGTTACAACAATCACTTTATCAACTCAATTTTTTCAAATTTATTCTTTAAATTGAAACAAAAAATTACCTTTAAATTTAGTTCATTTTTTTAATGTTATATCATTTAATTGTGGTTCACTGATTGCCTAGGCTTTACATATTTAAAACATCATAGCTTTAATCTGCTGAATTCAGCAGATTAAAACCACCATTTTGAATTATATTAATGTTATATGAATTATTAAAATATATAAACCATTTTTAAAGAGCTAAATATATAAACCAGTGAGCACACAAAACTAAAAATATATAAACCACAAAATATATAAACCACAGATTACTTTTTTAACTGGCGAGGTTTAAAAAGATATTGGATTTGTTTAAAATGTAAGAGAAATTAATTTAATATTTCAAAATTTTCTATATAGCTAAGATGACTATTTCTTCCCTTTTAGAAAAGACAGTTCTTTTTTTGTAGGTTCTGTCCTTCCTTAAGTAGTTTCCTTTCTTTTTTTTTGATGTCTTAAAATTGTCAAGAAATATTACAATAATGAATATACATTTAATTAAATAGTTAAAAGAAATGTATTCATAATAAATAGGTAGTAAAGAATTTAAGTACTTTTATATTTATTACCGAAATGTTTAATTTGTTCATATTGAATTTTTTTTTAAATTTTTGATCTTTTTAATTGGAAAATATTATCTTATTTATAGGTCTTGGTAGTTAAAAAATACATCAAAATGAACCACATAACTTGACCTTTGATTTAGACAAAATCCGTTAGCGATTTAAGCATTCCCATTTAGTCCATTCCAACATGCTCTCTTAAATGCTCAATGCTTACATAAATACGTCACATTTCTATATATAAACTTTTTATCAAAATGTCTAGAACCACCACTCTAAAACTAGAACTCAAGCTCTTTGTTTGCCAATATCACAGTTTTGCTGTTAGATTTAGTTCATAAAATATTTGCAAATGCCGACCATGCGGTCAATTGGTTTTCAAACTCAGACAAGTTATCATACTTGCTAAATTTCAATACCTATCCCGGCTAGCTCACTTACGTTGGGCCAACGTAAGTAAATACATCGCGAACGTCGGCTGTTTTCTTCGATGCAAATAAACGTTGATCCGATGTTGATTTTATCTTATTTATATTAATTAAAACCTGAATAGCGACGTAAATAAAAATAATTAGGAAAATTACATTAGTTCAACGTAGGTAAAAACAAAAGTTGGTTGTTTTTCTAATCTAAACCCAAAGATAATCTAATGTATATGGATCAACGTTGACCAAATGTGTATAACCCCATATTGATCCAATGATTAACTTTGATATAATTTTCATAACCCAATGTTAATCCAATGTTTATGGATTAACATTGAATTATATTGGATCAACGTTGCTCCATATACACTAGAATAACTTTGGGTTATATAGAGTGGTTCAACGTTGTGTTAACATCGAGATAAAGCAGATATACAAGTATATATTTATATAATTTATAAGAATTATTTTTCCTTCAAATACTGTAATTGGTTATGGAAACATATTTTGCTAATAAATCTTTCTCTATCTTATATAACAAAACATTAAGCCTCAAGCAAAACAAACATGAATAATAAGTCTTTAATCAGATGCATACTTAAAAGATAAAACGTAACTTATAAAAAAGTTTAAATAAATGATGACTCATCGAAATGGATAAAATACATGTGTGAAATATATACATGTATGTATAATCACAAATTTGTGCGCGCATATTTGTATCACAAATATACGCGCGTAGATGTATAAACTGCAATGTGTATATATATAAACTAAAATATGAAACAAATAAATTTAATTCTAATTTAAGTTAAATATAACGTTATTCAAACGTAAATTACAATGTTGAATCAACATAAAACATTACGCAATGTCCACTTAAAATATAACGTTGTTTTTTGGTTGTTGGCGACGTCGAAATTGTGACCAAAATGATATAAAAACAACGTTGGCGGTTAATGTTAAAAGTTGAATTAAAAATCAAATTGAATTGAATAATACTAGCAAATCGTATTGAATAATACTAGCTGACGGGACCCGTTAAAATACGGGTCTACGTAAGTTTATTTCACAAGAGTTTTTCTGAACTTATATATATATATATATATATATATATATATATATATATATATATATATATATATATATATATATATATATATATATATATATATATATATATATATATATATATATATATATATATATATATATATATATATATATATATATATATATATATATATATATATATATATATATAGCAAAAAAGACTTTTAGTTGTTAAAATAAAATTTTAAAGTTTTGCTAGCTACGGATAATTATTTGTCCTCACAGCAGTACCTTCTGGAGTAGCAGGATGGGCTAATTAAATTTTTTCTTTATTAAGTTTCAGACTATAATTTTGTTCAGACCATCCCCTGCTAGCTAGGACTAATTACCTGAGTACATTAATACGTATATATCTATCATAACATATGCGCAACAAATTTCTTTCAGTGTTTTGATGTTTTTATAAATTTTATACTTTTTTAAGAATTCTCTCCTTTTTGTTTGTTATATTAAATAATATCCTTATATATGTTATGCGTTTAATATTTATAGAACTTCAAAAATATTTTATTTTGTATCTTAAAAGACCAAAAAATAATAAAGAAATTTTTTTTTTGGATTTTAATGAAAATATAAAAAAAAAGCTGCTCATAAAAATATGAGGAAAATATAAAATACGTTTAAAAAAACCTACCTAGCGGGCATTTCTTTTTAAAAGTTAAGTCTCTAAATGTATTTTAAATCTCTTTTAAGCGTGTTTTAAACATTCTTACGTAAAGAACGTCTAAAAGACGTTTAAAAGACATTTAGAACGTAACTGTCAAAAACTAATGCCCGGAGGGTATGCTTTAAATGATTCTTTTATGTGTAATGAATCAACTACAAAACTAACTGAACTGTTTTTTATACTATTTAATATATATATATATATATATATATATATATATATATATATATATATATATATATATATATATATATATATATATATATATATATATATATATATATATATATATATTAAATAGTATAAATATATATATATATATATATGTGTGTGTGTGTGTCTGTGTGTGTCTATGTGTGTTGTGTGCGTGTTATATACTGAGTTGTAGCTAGGCTACTCCACTCTGTATACAACACGCGGGGGAGGGGGCGGCGAATTTAAGGGTCTCCAATATCTGTATATATGTGTAAATATGTGTATATATATATATATATATATATATATATATATACATATATATATATATATATACATATATATATATATATATATATATATATATATATATATATATATATATATATATATATATATATATATACATATATATATATATATAAATATATATATATATATATATATATATATATATATATATATATATATATATATATATATATATATATATATATATATATATATATATATATATACATATATATATATATATATATATATATACTGATACAAACGAGTCAACGCTCTTTTATTACTTAATAATTAATAAAATCATAACTTTCAGAACAAATATAGTTTTCTATCTTTAAAAAAAGAAGTCATATTTTAATATTGGATTGTAAAACTATACCATTTTGTAATCTTTGTTTAATTAATTCGCCTAATAATAGAATCAATCAAATAAATAAATAAGTGAAAAAATTGTCTAACAATGAAGTGAGTGCTCTAGAACCGAGGTTGCTGATCAACGTAAAAAAGAATTGCTCAAGCAAAAAATATGCGAGTAAACAAACAAAGTTAGACGAAAAGTAAAGTTTATATATTACTGTCTATACATAATTTCTTTCGTTTAACTTTGTTTATATTGTTTATTATATCATTATATAAGATATTTTGTTTATTACCAATAAAAGATGGTTGATGCAATGAATCAAGAGTGGTGGAAAAAAGCAAGCGACGTTGTCAATGCTTTCCATAAAGAAAAGGCTGCCATTCCTAGTAATGCTCAAAGAGCCAGAGAAGATTTAAAAGAAAACATAGCATTTCTCAGAACCTACTTGGAGTTCAATTACAATTTATGCGATAAAGTTGTTTTTTCAGGTTTGAATCTTCAAACAATTTTTTTTTTTTTTTTTGTAACATAAATTAAGATATTTTATCTTAAAGGAATTTGAAAAGATAACTAACTTTATTTTATACTTGTATATTATTTTTTATATTAACTTGTGTAAATAACAAAATTCCTTTAAAAAAGTCCTTAAAACAAAAATTGTACCGTTTGATTTATTTACAATATTTGATAAGATATTATTTAAAAAAAAAAGTAAAAATCAGTAAACCGTAGCATTTGCACTTGCTTACATTAATTAGAAATAAATACTTATGCAATGGGTAACAGATCAAAAGGTTCGCTACTTTAATAACAAGTAAAGCTCAGCTTTTAAGAGAACATAATATTTTAGCTTTTATTTTGTCTAAAAAAATACGAGGTAATCGAGGTAATCGAGGTGTAACAATATATGTCTACTTTATAGAAGTAAAAGATCTGCGTTCTTTGAAAACGATATTAAAAATCACAACGTTATTAAAAAATTAAATTTTTATCATTATTGTAAAAATTTTTTTTTTTTTAATATATAGATTTTTAAATAAACGAAAATAATAAATACAGAAACTTTTATTAACAACTTAACCTACGCGTGTTTCGTTACGGTTCATTATCTCCAATATGTTTGTTTAAACTTGGATGTGGTTCGGTAACAATCAGACCGGTTTAGATCATGTATGGTTCAGGTTTTGCTTTGATCTATTAGCGCACACCACATTTCTATTGGTTAGAGTTTCAGAATATTAAAAGGCACAAAATTAAAAAAAAAAGATATGTTTTCTTATTCGATTTTGATCAAGTTAAGAAATACTTTTTAAATAAAAGGGAAACGATCTTAATCTTGTATGTTCGGCTAGTAACAAAAGCAGCCAATAACTTTTTATGTATTTTTGTCATTTAAAAAAAAAAATTGTTTTTTCATTTAATTTATTATTTTTTTGATTCATATTTGATTTGATTAACCAAATCATATTTACATATATTTAAAACTACATAAATAATATAGCAAATTACATTTATCATACACCAAAATAGCTAGGGGAACATGGGGCAAGATGATAAATATTTCGGAAAACGTCTATATCTTAGGCACCAGACCAAAATAACAAGTCTTTTGAACGTTCAAAAGACGTCCAAAGCGTTCAAAAGACGTACAAAAGACGTTTGATACGTTTCAAAGACGTTCAAAAGACGTCTTTTTTATGTCCCAAGCCCACTGGACAATAATTGTCACAAGAATCTAAACTTAATTTAGAAGTGATAAAAAGTCAATACGCGTCACTGATGTATCAAAAAACCACTCTAAAAGTTGAAAATAGCTGAGGAAAAACTCATTAACCAATGTTAACTCAATCCCGCATACGGGGCAAGATGACGACTTGAGTTAATAAAGTTTAAGACTTTTAAAAGAGAAAACTCTACAAACGTCTCAAAAACCATCATCACAAATTTTAGTTTTTTAAAAAAAGTAACACAAATAGAGGTGTAATTTTTAAAATTAATTAACTATTTATATCGGGCTACGCAAAAACAACAAAAAACAACCTAATAATCAGTTTGTAGCAAACTACAACGCAATAAAATAAAACTATTATCAAACAAAATATTTTGTTTTGTAATAAAATAATGACTAAACAATACAAGAATAATAAACAGTACAAGTAAATTTCCGTTTTTAACATATTGACCACAAGTTAGATGACACCGGTGTTCACAGGATTGTCATCATCAAACAATGGGTCAAACAAAAAATTATTAGATGTTAACTAAGTGCAAGTTGCTGCTTTGTTTAATAAGGTTTAAAAACTTAATCAAAAGTTTTTACAAATATCGGTTAAACACGGTGAAATTCAGCACCCTTTAATAACGCGAAAACTACTAAACAAATTTTTTTTTAATTTTTGACACAATGAAGCTAATTGAATTATTTTTTTATTTCAATAATTTTTTACATTTTTTATCGGAAGCTTAGATAGAAACCAAATATCTTACCGAGTTCTTGACATCATTTGATTGATCTTGTTTTGAGTTATTTTTTTTTGAGGTGGCTATCCATTTTTTTAAATTTTTTTTTTTTTATTTGTAGCTAATTTCTTGCTTTTCAATAAGGTTCTTTTTATAATTGACTAATAACTTTCAATAACTTGCTGCTCAGGACAATTTGGAGGGTTTGCTTCCTTATGAGGAAGCAATACATGTGTTTTCTGATTAAGTTTCTGATTAAAATCTGATATGGCTACAATTCAATACTTCAAGAAGTCTCTAGTTTGGTATGAACAAAATGGCGTCGAATTTGTACTTAAAAGTACAAATTCTAGAGATTTCTTGGAGTATTGAATTGTAACCAAATTAGACCTTAATCAGAAACTTAATCAGAAATTTGACCCATTTTGTTTATACCATACTAGAGACGTCCTGGAGTAGCGAATTGTAGCCAAGTCAGACCAATATATTGTGGACATTTCATGCTTTTTAATAAATGGCAAAAGGCGTTTCTTATTATTTATAATTCGCATTCAAAGTTTTATGAGTAATGTATGGTGTACTTTTTAAACTACAGGAGGAGATTGCTTGCCATATAAGGAACTTGGGAACAAATTTTTCAGTTTGAATATACTTGAATTTTTTTGGCAACATATCTACCTTTCGACTGATAAAAATATTGCTGCCCTGGCAATTGTGAAAAGTCCTTTTTGCAATAGGTTTCATTGTCTTCAATTATGCACAAGTTTCCTCGGTTTAAAAGTTTTATACTTTGCTTTATATTTATCTTGAAATCCTTTTTTTTTCCACTTCCAGCTTTTCTTTCAATATATTGAATCTGTTTATATTGCCGAAAAATAAACCCAAATGATGATCTAGGAACACCGGTCAATTTTAAAATGTCAACTTGCAACAATGAAAGATTTTGAAGAAAAATTTCTAAAATGTTTTTTGGATTTAATATTTGTTTAATCAATTTAATCCGATAGCAATAATAACCACTACTTATTATTTGAATCAAAAACCACACATTAGCTTCCGTGTGCAAAAAAATTGAAAAAATTTATCAAGTAGTTTTTGAGTAATTAACGATTAAATGATGATTTTCATCATTTAATCGATTAAAATGATGATTTTCATCGTGCTTAACCGATACTTTAACCGTGTTTAACCGATACTTTACTCGTGTTTAACCGATACTTCAACCGTGTTTAACCGATACTTCAACCGTGTTTAACCGATACTTTACATAAGGCGAGTTGGAAATACTTTGAACTTGTTCATTTGTACGATGATTTAAAAACTTGGCTTCTTTTTGATCGCATAACAATCATTTGCATTGTTAAATATGTATATAGCAGTATTTTTGAAGACCTTTAGAAAGTTTTTTAGAAGCTATTTAGACACTTTTTTGCTTAAAAGGTTGTCAATCTAAATTATTCTAAAAACCAAATTTGAGATTAGAAAACAATCTTTGAGAATTTAAAAATAACAACAGAGAGTGACGATGTCTTATTCTATGCTTAAAATTTTTAGACAAATTGTAAATCATAAGTTGATGAAATACTTTTGGTATCCAAGAGATTTGAAAGCCCAAAAAATTTCTTTGAGCAAACGTTTCAAAATGTTCATCAATGTACTGTAATAGAGATTTTCTATAAACTGCGTAACGCTTAAAAAGATAAAAACAGAAGTAGATTATTTGCTTATTTAGGCGCCGATTTTCATTGAATAAAACCACTATTATGATTTTTGGTTTCATTAAATTAAAAAATCTATATATACATACATACATACATACATACATACATACATACACACATACATACATACATACATACATACATACATACATACATACATACATACATACATACATACATACATACATACATACATACATACATACATACATACATACATACATACATACATACATACATACATACATACATACATACATACATACATACACACATACATACATACATACATAAATAATATTGTTATTAATATTATTAAACATAATATTAGTTAAATCATTTAGGTATTGTTATTAGCGTAAATCATTTAGGTAGCGCTTATGAAGATTTAAATATATCTGGAGACAATATAGAGTTTGATGTAATGTTGATTGCTCAACGTTCTAACTTTCTGTACCTCACAGAATGTAATAATGGAGTTTGTAAAATTAGGAGCAACAGTCCGTTCCTTAACTATCCTTTTGATGAAGATTTCAATATAGATTCAGAAAAGTATCGATCATTTTTCTTCGGACTTATTCAAAAATGGTCTAACATGATGATGACTCATAAAAAAAAAAGTTTTACATTAGTTAATCACGGTGTTGCAACTCAAATGAACGTGAATGATGAGAAAGGAATTCTTTGGTACCAAGTTGATTTAGTACCATGCTTTGAAGCAAAATCAAGCTTAATTAGTGAAGGTAATTATTTATTTTATAAAATAATAAGAACTTTTTATCTTGTCCATTTTGATTTTTTACGTTATTTAAAAACTATTCTTAGTTTATTTTTATCTCTTAATGTTATTATATATTAGGTGATACATTTACATATTTTTAAAACTGAATAAGCATCTTGGAACAAGTTAGCTTGAAAATTTATTGTAATAGAGTCAATTTAAATATTAAAAAATTTTCAATTGAAAAATTTTTTTGATCATTGGGGTAATCTGCTTCCTATAGTGATGTAAATTTTCCAGTAAAATTTGATTCAAAATTTACCGGTAAATTTTAATTAGAGAACGGTAAATTTTCCTTTAAAAAATTAAAAAAAAAATAAGTAAATAAGTGAAAAAAATATTTAAAATTTACCAGGCAGTAAATTTTCAAAATTTTCCGGTAAATTTACCGGCAAATTTTACCTTCGCAACACTAGCTTCCTACACTAACTTTAGTGGTTCCACGTTGTTCAGACTTACTAAGCTAAGTTATTATACGCATGCGCAGTAAATTTGCATATATCCGGATTTTAAAAAATGGTAATAAGCGAATAATACGCTGATACCAAAAAAAACTTCTCTTTTGAAACGAACTACTTGTTTAATTTTTGGTTATTGAATATACATTTAGCCGTTTATTAAACGGAAAGTATTATTAAAAAAAATTTAAACTACGATTCAATTAAAATAAAAACCTTTCAAAACGAATAAAATTTAAATTCAGCAATAGCTATTTTACTATGTTTTAAAAATTTTAAATCTCTTTTAAAACTTTTTTGAGGGCTGCAATTTATTATTATTTAATTATTCCGAAAGATGTGGTTTTTATCTTTTTTAGAATGTTTATTAATGTTATTATTTAATTTTTTGTACCAAACATTTGATACAAAAATCAAGGATCAAACAATATTTTTTCAATTTTACTTTTTCTAAGCTGTTGCAAGAAGTCCTTACGGTCTTATCACAGTGCAGTATGTGATTTTAAGGGAAGTTCGCGCCTCCTTCTTTAACGTTGTTATAAAACTTTCCCATTTTTTTAAACATCTTCACTTCGAACAAGGCTGCAAGCAATCACTGCTAGAGTTAGAAGTTACTGAAAAAGAAAAGATAAAGTATATAAAGCAAGATTAACAGACAACTTAAAAAATTACAGGTTATATGAATTAGAAAAACAAGATTATTAAATCCTTGGTATTGATAGATTCAATAATCTCAAAAATGTCACCTGATATACCGTAAGTAGAGAGCTTATGGAGAAGACCAGCATTCTAAACTTTATCAATGGTTTTAGAAATGTCAAAGGCCCTAATCTACATCTATCTAATGCAAGATAAAACCTATTGTTAATAACCGTTATGTAACTGTTAACAATACTGCATAAAAAGAGAAAATCAAAATTCATTTTGGTGATCAGAAAGTAAGTGATTATATTCGAGATGAGAGATTAAATGTGTGTTAATTAAAGACTTAAAAACCGTGCTTATTGTAGGAAGAAGACTAATGGGACGGTAGTTAGACAAGAATAGAGATAATGTCACTTTTCAGCAGGCTGGAAAACAAGACTCTGATAAGCACTCGTTAAATAATTTTGAAAATATAGACGACAGCTTCAAAAAACATTTTTGCAAGACTATATCAGGTATGTTGTCCAGACCAGAAGCTGGAGTGATACAAATGTCAAGCAATGGATCAACCTGCTTGTCAGCTGCATCAGGTAGAATGTAATTAGCAGAATCTAGAGATAAGATTGATAAAAATTTCTTAGCAAACAATTCACTTTTGTCTTTAGATGAGGTAACAAAATCTGAACCATGCAAGAGAGAATGAATAACAAATTTCTCCTTATTATAGACACTGTTAAAGATTCTCCAAGTCTCTGGATCCATATTTTTTTAAGATAATTTATGAGGTTTGATGACCTAAGAAGCCGGATTTCTTCAATTAAGTCCTATTCTTTTACATCATTTACGTAGAGATTTGCAATGGCCTTTGCTTTTTTCTTTCTTACTAAGTGTTTCATCGTTACTAGAAGAAGGTGGAAACCATCAAATGAGCGAAAACATGTCCGCTGTTTTTTGAGTTGTATCTATTTTGTTTCTTATCTGCTTTAGTAGCGTGACAAGAGCAACATTAAACACGTTTACCTAGAAAAAGACCCGTTACATATAGCCCTAGCATCTACAATTCTTTAAATCAATTCAACTTTGATTCAAAATGTCCATATCCAGGTTTGCGATTTCAGAACCCTTTTGATTTTCCAGATTTTCTACCTTTTAAAAACGCTCTTTTACTATTTATTGGTTATCAGATCCTAAGTAGACAAATCGAAAAACAAAAATGATTCAATCCATCAACAAGAACGGAAAAATAAATGGCTGTGTGTGTCTCTGTGACCATAGGAGCGAAAACAATTTCCTCACATGTTATAATAAACTCAAAATGAGTTTATTATGGCATGTTAAACTCAATTTGAGTTCTCCTGTTTTCGATGTCGAGAAACTTCTTCTAAATGTAACTAGAGTGTCTTATGGTGTTTCTTTAAAAGCTTAAGAGTGGTAAAAAAGTTACCATTATCATCCTTTCCCAGCATGATGAATATAAGCATAATATTGGAACAAAGGTTATATCTAGATTAATATTCCAAGCAACATAAAAAATATTTTATGAATATAAAGTGTAAACACACCTCGAAAACTTAGATTTCTCGAAGCTAAATGAAGTGACGTCCAGGACGCAGCGTAAAATTTTATACAATTTAGATGTCTCATTTATTGACTTTTCAAGTTCTGAATTGATTCCTGTCTGATTTTTCAAGGTTTTAAAAGCTTATTTCCAACAATGTAGCATTTTTTGTGCTAAATATTAGGATAGTGGCTTTAATTTTTTCTCCTAATTTTTGCCAATTATTTTTTATTCTGCCAAACTAAAATCCAGGGCTTAAAACATGCTTTAGTCCAAAAAAAGAGCAGAGGAAGCAAACAAAATTCTTAGCAGTTCTCCTACAGATAAGCCAATCTCTATAGATCTTCATTTATTGAGTAGGGATACGTAAAAAAGGAGGCAGGAGCTTTTAGGTTTGTAGAATCTCTAGGAAAACATGCTGGACTATGAGGTGGTCTATTTAATATGATTAGATCGCGTTCAACTATAAAAATAAAATCTCTCCCACAATGCGGGGTCGTTTCCAACTACTTGATCACCCAGTTGAATTACCTCTGGACCTTTGATTAAAACAGCATTTGAGAATAATAGTATGTTTTTAATATTTGCAGATATTAGATAATATGTTTTTTAATCTCGGCAGATATTAATATACGCAGACACAATACACATTTTTGGGAGTTCAGATTAAAAACACCAGCTACATCTATTAGCTTCAACGATATCAACTACTGCTACTGCAAAGAAAATTAACTTGAAATTAGTAAATGTCTTAATGTATTGATTGCGTTAACTTATTTTATGGCAAGTCATGACGAATGTTTTGAATTTTTCCTTATAGAATACAATAAACTGTGACTTATATATCCCTAAATGTACCACCTAATTTTGTTACATTAAATTTAATCTTAAATGGTTCAATCCTACAATTTAAGAAGTTTGCAGAGAAGACTTTCTTAGGGCTTGGTTATCGCTTCACTTTTATTTTTAAATTTTATTAATGATATGCCTGACTTTTTATCTAATATCTGAAAATATTTTGCTGATAACACTCAATTAGTTGCAAAAATCAAAAGTTTATCTGATCTAGAACAAGTTCAAAAAGACATAGATATCTTAATACATTGGTCTAAACTTTGGAGCATGAAAGTTAATATAAATAAATACAAAATAATGATCTTTAATGGTGGTTTCGATTTTTTAGACTCCTTTGGTATGCTTAACTCATCAAACACTCTAATTACTTTTGAAAGTTTTAATATTGAAAAGTCACGAGGAATTTATTTCAACAATAAAAATAAGTGGTCTTATCAAATAAATAATGCATCATTAATAGCTAGCCAGATGCTTGGCATTTTTAAAAGAACTTTTTTAAATTGGAATCAAATTGTGTTTTGAAAACTATATGCTACCTATGTACGCCCGCTGCTTGAGTTTTTTGCTCCAATATGGAACCCTTATTTAAAGAAAGATAATGAGAGACTAAAAAAAATTCAAACCAGATCAACTAAACTAGTTCCTCAATTAAGAATCATGAATTACGAATTTTGATAGGCAAATTTAGGATTATCTACGCTCTCAGAATGAAGAATGATAGGCAATTCGATTCAGTATTTCAAAATCTAAAAGAATTTTAATAAAGTCAAGTTCCTAAACCCAAACATAAATCCCACTTGTTTTTTAAATTGTTCTGCAGGAAACTTACGAAATAAAACCCACAACCATGCTATTGTCAGAGAAATTTCAAATAACTCACATAGACATTGAGTTACTTCAAATAACTCGCATAGAAATTTCAAATAACTCGCATAGACATAACTTCTTATAAAATTGCATCCCAATTGAATGCCTTGCGTTCTTCTGTTGCTTGCTCTCATTCTGTCAACGAATTTAAAAACAAATATGATGATTTTTTTCGCTCCACCAGAATAAAGTCTACTATAGCAGGGCCTCGTAAGATGTCCAGTTCATAAAAGCTAACTGCTTCTATTTTAGATTTTTTATAGTAATTACTAATATTAATTATTAATATTAATTCTATTGTAGATAATAATAACTATTTTTGATAATAGTTCTATTAAAGATAATAGCAATAATAATATTTTTTGAAATAAGAATGCGTCCCAAATTTACTCGATTTTTCTCCAGAGACCGTTGAAAAATTTAAAGGGAAAGAAGGCTTTTTATGGACTTAAGGGTTCATCATCATTGTTGGTAGCATGGTCCATCTAAAAAAGAATTGTTTCAACAATTTTAGAATAAAATTATGAATATCCGAGTGGGAATAAAAAGATAAAGCTATTAAGCTATACTCTAACAACTTGGTCTGACGTAGAGTTATTAGATGCCTTTTTTTTTGAACTTTATCAAAACCACACTCTTCCAGTGTATGTTTGTTATTGCTTAATTTTACAACTTTTTCTGCAGCTTTCTTTTGCCTTGAGACCCTGAATTATACTTTCAAAAACTGGACATCATGTTTTTTCCCTAAAATGATAAACAGTTTTATTAGAAAAGTATTGAATTTCTATTTAAAAAAAAATTAGTAATTACATGTCTAACTAATTCAATTGTCTTTTCACTAATCGCTATTTTATTATTGATATTTACGGTGAATAACCTAGTTAAAATAGTTTCCAGCTTTATACCCTATACCTTTTTAAATCTATTTCTCATATCTTTTTCTGTACTACAACTCAAAAAAAATTTTTTTTAGGTTAGAAATAGTTCAGTTAGCATAGGAACTGAAAAAATGAAAAAATTTTCAGTTTCCATAACAACATGGTTTTTATTTTTGTATAAATAAACTTTTTTATTTAAAAGTTTAGAAAAGTGTTATTGCGTTCCAAAACCTATTACATAAACTTTTATTTAATAAACTTTTTTATATTTATTTAATATTTAATAAACTTTTAATAATCTATTTAATAAACTTTTTTATTTAAATGTTTAGAAAAGTTTTATTGCGTTCCAAAACCTATTCCAAATCAGAGACTATACTGGAGATTGTCTTATTCAATTGACGAAACACAAATTGCAAAGAAACTTTCTAATGATGCAAAAAAATGCATTCGAATTATTAAAGCCTTATTCAAGTTAGAAACGAACGGTTTGTTCACCAAATTCACCTCGTATCATATTAAAACATCAGCGTTTTATTTGAAAGAACGTGGAAATTGGCCGAACGAAGAAAATCTTGGACGCAGTATTTACGACTTTTTAGTTTTTATCAAAGAAAGTTTGAAGAATGGTGAACTGAAGCATTTTTTTGACCGCACTATTAATCTTCTCGACAAAATTGAAGTCTCTACGGAACAATTAGCAAATACTATTAATGGCTGGCTAAAAAATGAACAAAAATTCTTGACAAAATTTTCGTCATCAATTGATGCTAACATTAAACAATTGGCAATAAAATGATTTATGAACTGCTTTTATTTTTTTTTTCTTTAAAAAAGTAAAAACAGAAATTAAACAAAAACAGTGCTTTATTACTTCACTTTAATTTATTAAAACATAATTCTTGATTAATTTGATTTTTGATAATATAATTGTTGCCATAATGTTCAGAGTAGCTTTTTATTTTTATTTTATTTTTTTATCTTTGTTTTTACTACTACTTTTTATTGACTTTTTTTTTTTTTGTTAGCTTAAGTATATAGTCAGTAAAAAATAATGATTTTTTTGAATTTTTCATATAATATTTATATAATATATAGACAAAAATATAAAGAATTAAATATTTGTATTTGTTTAATTTTATCAGTTATTTTTTTAAATTATATAAAAATTTAAACAAAATTATATAAAAATTTAAAAAGTTATTTCTTTAAAATCTGTCTGAAAAGGTTACAAGCATAAAGGCTATAAATATACAGCTGTTACTTTAGACATGAATTTAGAATGTTCATTATTCCTAAAAACAACAATACTTAGTATCAGTGCCATGGCTAGTGGGTTGAAGATCAACCCACCTCCCCCGCCCCCCAATAAAAAAATTTCCACTTTTTAAAATTTGTTTCGTCTTTTAGCTATTTTCCCTTTTTTTTTTAATTTAAAAAGTATTAAAACTCAACTCAAAAAAAAGACACAAACAATTGTTTGTGCCTCTTTTTTTAAATTGAATTTTATTTTTTTTGGATTTAAACCCGAGACACTATACATAATAATACAACCTTAGGTTGAGTATTTTAATAAATATTCTTGGAATATCATTGGCTGGATTCAGTTAATTTGAGCTTTAAAACATTTATAAATAGTATTAACAAGAAGAGACAATGAAAGATCAATATTAGTAAATGGTCTTTTTTGTATAAAGAAAAACATGACATTTATTATAAGGTCTAAAATTTCTAATGACTATAAAGCGGTTTTAACGGTTTTGCTTTAAACAGTAGCACTAAAAACATATAAGCTGCTGTTATCGCCCACGATCTGACTATATAGAAACCGTTTATGAATTTTTGAGTGATAATGTTTTTAAAAAAAAAAATTTGAGTGATAATGTTTAAAAAAAAAAAATTTGAGGAGAATTTATTAACAACGTTAAAATGTTTTACGACGACTTTTTTTTAAAATGAAGCAAACCCATTAAATAATAAACCAACTAGAGTAACCTCAACATCGGCAAGTTTAATTGACAACATTATAAGAACCGATATTTTTAATGAAACGCTTAAAAAAGGTATAATAAAAGGTAATGTTTCCGATTATTTCCCTAATTTTTTGCTCTATTAATGATGACAACAAATCAATACAACAATTCATTGATTGCTTTTTCATTGATTCAAATCTCACATTGTTTAAAATCAATAATCCTTAATAAATTGAAAACAGGTTTATAAACAGTTTATTTGAAGTAAATGCAGCGTACTACGCATTTTTTTCTATATTTCAATAACATGTACTATGTAAGTATTCCAAAACGTTAACTTGTTAAAACCAATAAGTGTTTAAAGCCTCCATGGGTCAATAAAGGTCTTAAAAAATCCTCAAAAATAAAGCAAAAACTGAATACAAAGCACTTAAAATCATCCGATAATAAAATTGTTCATAAAAAGTACGCTAGATAATATAATCAAACTTTGACTACTTCCGCGCTAAATTGCTGCTGACAGGCTGTTTACAGACTTATACCGCTGCGTTATGCATTATTAGATTGCTTAGTCTTTCAACTACAAAACGATGAGGAGCTGTCCATAAATGATGTCAGTAATTTTTCTCAAGCTCTGTCAATTTTTGGCCGACACCCCCTTATATATGATGTCAGTTTTTGTACCCCCTCCCCACCCTTCCTAAAGTAACATTAAAAATGTGTGTTAAAACCATTGATTTTTTTCTGGTTAAATTATACATTTATATAATAGTAGATCTCAGTAAGTTATATTATAGAACAGTTGATACCTCATTAAATAATGAACAAACTAATCAAATTTTTATTCTATATCTATAATATAAATTCATAATCTTCCCAAGAGTTGTTGAAGCGATCTTCGATAATAATGACAATTGTATTTAAAATAATGACAAATGACTTTATGTGTTTGCTTTGAAGTACATTTTATAATCCGCTAAGGATCCAATAATGATTGTTAAAATTATATACAAATTGTTGATATTAGTAAACATTTAGATTTTCAGTCAAATGGTAATGCAATAATAAAACGTTGGTAAATTCTTAACTTATTCCATGTCTCTAGGAAACTTACATCGAAGTCCCCACAAAGCAAATATGCCATTTCTATACCACATTGTAGATGCAAATACTTTAAAAATCTGCTTGCGTAAACTTGAATTTTTTTTTCTTAAATTGACATTATTTTAGTCTCAACACCCCCTCCCCATTATCAATTCTTATCAAACTTTTCAGTACCCCCTCCTCTATAATTACTAACATCATTTGAGGATGGCCTCTAAAGTTGTTCTAATTTTTATGAGAGAATTTCACATGACCATTAAAAACTGTACAGGGTTTCAATAACACTGAACCTCGCCTACTTGAACTCAATTAGTAATATATTAAGGTAGCAAAATAAAAATTTTGAACAAATAAAATAATATAGTATTTAGCAAAGTTTACCCTAAGGTATTTTTTTTTTTTTCATTCAAAATAAGTTTTATTATATAAGAATAAATAAAATATATAAATTACATATTGTAAGAATTACAAATTTTGTTAACGTTTCAATAAGAACGCGGATACTCGCAGAAAAAAGAACGCGGATACTCGCAGAAGATCATAAGATCTTGTCATGCAGAACCTAAACAGATTTTAAATAAAAAAAAAATCCTTTAATAGTTCATAATAAAATATTTCACTATTTACACACATGTAAATATACAAACATATATACTTACACATACATAAATATATGTAAGTTAATATACAAGATTTCGTGTATATAAAATACGATAAAAGATTTCTTAAGATTTCTTAATAAAAAACAAAACAAACTTAAAAAAGTATATTTTCAATTGAGAAAAATTTTTTTTTTTTAATTTTCATTTAAATAAGAAAAAGATTCTTGAGAAAAATCAAAAGTTTTTAATATTACTTTGTTCCATTAAAATACCCCTCTACATGAAATACAAAATTTACCAAACTTGATTTTAAAAACTGTTTGAAGAATAAAATTTTCATCATGCAAATTGTATTTATTTCTAACTTTTATAGAATATAAGTTGTGAAAAGAAATTGGAGATGTGCAAGTTTTACATTTAAACATAAAATACAATACATTAAGAATATTAATTTCATTTAAAAGAAGCTTTACATGATAAAAACAATGTTTAAAATTAATAAGACGTGCAACATGTTTCTGTTGGTAATAAAGTGGTTTTAATTTAGCTTTGCTAACACTATTCCGAGCCGCATTCGCATAGTTTAGATGTCAATGAATAAAAAAGTGGTATAGCTGAATTAAAGTATGTTTATTTAGAATGCTAGTAATAAACATCTGATAAGTTGTAACCTATCATTATCTTCATTATCTGCATAGCATTTTGATAAAAATACTAGGTACATAATTATTCAAACAAAATATCATTTTTTAATTTACTAAAATTTTTGTTGTTGTTATAAAACTAATGATTACTTCAATGAAATGATTCACTTACCATGGAAGGAAGAATTTACAAATTCAATTTGGTGTTTTTATTCTATTTGCAATTTTATTTTCTTTTGGCTCAGTAAAGTTGGTATAATTATTTACATTGAAATCTTAATTTTTTTTTGCTACTGGATCGTTGGCCATTGGTGCATGCTGATTATCTGTAACATCAATTTTTGTTTCTAAAATAGTAGCAGGGCCGTGGAGAGTTTTCATGGTAACCGGGGAAAATATTTAGTAGACGCCGCTTTAAGCATTTATACTTCTAAAAAAAAGGATTTAAATTAGAATAATATGCTAAAATGCATATGTATGATTGCATATGGTTTGAAAATGATTTATTTTTCAATGATGTATACATATCGGAAAATAGACTGTAGACCCTTCGAATGTATTCGAAAACAATGTTTAACCTTCTAGATTTATTTATTGAAAGTGCAAAAGCAAAGAAAAAAAGTGATTTTAAATTCTCCAGAGCTCCGAGAAAATTGTCGTTCACTTGTTCTCCTTGAGCAGAAATTTAACCTGTTGCAATAAAAATAAAAGAAACAGTAAAAAATGTTTATCGATGGTTTGGTTTGACAGAGCTGCTATTATATGCTTTGATGTGATAACTTAGTTTCTTCCAAACGCCTTTGATTGCACCATTTCAGCGGAGTACACATCAATCTCCGGCTAATCTATGACTTTAGCACCTAAATAGAGAACAAAAAAAAAAAAAAAAAAACTTATTGTTGTGCTTCATAATTTTGCACTTTTGCTAGTAAGGAGAAATACAATAGTATTCTTCTTATTGTTGTTCGTTTATTTATTTGACACTTTACTACGCTTTTTTTTTTTTTTTTTTTTTTTTAAACATCTTCACTTCCAACAAGGCTGCAAGCAACCACTATAAGAGTTGGAAGTTACTGGAAAAACGCTTACTACGCTTCCACCTAAATGTTACGCTTACTACGCTTCCACCTAAATGTTACGCTTACTACGCTTCCACCTAAATGTTACGCTTACTACGCTTCCACCTAAATGCTACGCTTACTACGCTTCCACCTAAATGTTACGCTTACTGCGCTTCCACCTAAATGTTACGCTTACTACGCTTCCACCTAAATGTTACGCTTACTACGCTTCCACCTAAATGTTACGCTTACTACGCTTCCACCTAAATGTTACGCTTACTACGCTTCCACCTAAATGTTACGCTTACTACGCTTCCACCTAAATGTTACGCTTACTACGCTTCCACCTAATGTTACAAACGAACTACTTAATATTATATGATTAAAACTTTTTTGAGGAAACTTTTTGATGTATAAATTCTGCTTCATTATTTATAGA